AGCCTTTCACTCCTTTCTGATATCCCAGAAAGATACACTGTCTAGACTTCGCATCAAGCTTCGACCTCTCCTCACTAGAAACATGTACATAGGCTGGACATCCAAACACTCTCAAACCAGAGTAGTCTACCTCACTGCCTGTCCACACCTCCTCTGATACTTTCTCATCTAGTGCTGCCCTCGGTGATCTGTTAATCAAGAAACATGCCGCCATATTCACTGCCTCTGCCCAGAAATTCTTTGCAAGCCCTGCATTCAACCTGAGACACCGAGCTTTCTCGGCTATCGTTCTGTTCATCCTTTCCGCTACACCATTTTGTTGTGGTGTCTTGCGGACTGTGAAGTGTCTCTTGATCCCATGCTGCTCACACAACTCCTGGAACTTTGAATCTGTGTACTCAGTACCATTATCTGACCTGAGGCATTTAATCTTCCTCCCTGTTTGGTTCTCTACTTCAGCTTTCCACAGCTTGAACTTGGCAAACGTTTCTGACTTGTGCCGCATGAAGTACACCCAGACCTTTCGTGAGTAATCATCAATGAAACTCACAAAATACATGTATCCTCCCCGTGATAGTACGCTAACTGGTCCCCAAACATCTGTATGGACATAGTCGAGAACCCCCTCTGTCTTGTGTGTGGCTGTCTTGAACTGCACCCTATTCTGTTTTTCAAAAACACAATATTTGCAAAATTTGAGCTTGCATGTCTTGACACCCTTCAATAGATTTTTCTTATGAAGCTCTATCATCCCACGCTCACTCATATGACCCAGCTGCATATGCCACAAGGCTGTATTATCTGATTCAGACTCTACAGCAGCAACTCCACCTACAATTGTAGTACCCAGCAGTCTGTAAATGTTTCCTACTACTTTCTGTCCCTTCATCACTGTCAGCATGCCTTTACTTACTTTCATTACTCCACTTATAGATTTGTAACTATAACCATTACAATCCAAAGTGCCCAATGAAATCAAATTCTTCCTTAGATCCGGTACATGTCTAACATCACACAACGTTCTAACCATACCATCAAACATCTTAATTCTAATATTTTCTATTCCAACAACTTTGCAAGATGCATCATTACCCATCAGAACAGAACCAGAATTTACTGACCTGTAGGTGTCAAACCAATCTTTGTTGGGTGTCATGTGATAGGAACATGCTGAATCCATAATCCAAGAATCTGTTAAACGATCTGAACTAGATAAAACAGAAAGCATATCTCCGTCACCACTCTCTGAATCTTCTTCTTCCACTACGTTTGCAGACTTTGATGCACCCTCTTTGTTCTCTGAATCCCCTTTCTTTTTCTCTGGACAGTCCCGTTTAAAGTGCCCCTTTTTCCCGCACTTGTAACACGAGACAGAGACGTCCTTCTTCTTCTTCCTCGACTTGGACCGGGCTTTATTGTTACCCGATCCATTCCGAGATTTGCTTCTTCCACGTTCCTGGTTACCCTTCACCACAAGCCCTTCACCTTGTGAAGCCTCATCACTGGCTTTCTTCCGCTGATGAAAACCTAACAGAGCACCTGTGACATCCTCCAATTCGAGGGTTTCTTTCCCCCACATCAGAGTCGTAACCAAATTCTCGTACGTAGGAGACGCCGGTAAGGAATTCAGCAACATCAGCGCCTTGTCTTCGTCTTCGAACTTCACATCAACTCGCTTCAGATCGCTGATGATCTGATTGAACACGTTGATGTGTTGGGTCAAATCCGAGCCCTCTGACATCTTAAGACCATATAATTTCTGCTTAAGATAGAGCTTGTTCGTCAACGACTTGGACATATACCGACTTTCCAGTTTCAACCAAACTTCCGCCGATGATTCCTCATCCATGACGTGATACATCACTTCATCAGCCAGACAAAGCCTAATAGTCGCCACAGCCTTCGCTTCCAATTCTTTCCAATCCATGTCGTCCATTCCTGCCGGTTGTTTTCCGTATAATTCCTTCACCATGCCCTGCTGCACTAACAGGTCCTTCACCCTCCTCTGCCATAATCCGAAATTCCCAGTTCCGTCGAACTTCATGATGTCGAATTTTGTAGAGAAAATCCCAGACATCGTAGTCTAGCTCTGATACCAATTGTTGTGATCGTGCAGAAATTATGGTGAATAGTAAGGAATCAAACAATTAAGAAAGCAGGAGAAAATAACACACAGAGATTTACGTGGTTCGGCAATGTGCCTACATCCACGAGAGCGAGCGGCCGTTCTTTTCCATTATAGAATAGGGTTACATCTTAAGTATTTATATAACCCTAATATGGACGTATTTACAAAAATACCTCTGTACCTGTACCGTACCGTACCGCGGGGGCGTTGCCCCCGCACCCCCAACTAATCAGCATCCCCTTTATTTAAATCCCGCAAGGCAGATGCCGTCGCAGGCTCCGCTCCGACATCTGCCTCCTTGCCATTATGCACACAGTAAATATGAGCCACATATACTCTAACACTTATCCTTATAGGATCCTCACTTATGCGTGGTGTCTATTCTTCCGAGTGACGGGAAGCACACCTTAGCACGAGGGAGTCTTTAAATTTCCAAATAAGTTGATAAGGCGTAGAGACAATTTTGGGATGAAAGGTCTCTCGTCCTTTGACTTTCAAATAGTGGATCATCTTATCTTCATGTCTTCTCTCACGTGTCAATTAGATGGGAGGGTTGATTACTAGGATTTGCAGAGTTCAGTAAATCCTCCAATGATAATTTTTTTGTCATTAGAGCACCTCTAAAACTGTTTTAATTATGTAATTAACTTTTTTCAACGTCAATTATGTACAACTAAAATAGTGGGGAGAAAAAGAATTATTCATACTCATGTATGAAGGGATCAATTTAAAATCATCATAATAGATGTCCTAATATCGAGAAAAATTTAAAACAAAAAAAAAAAAAAAGAAATCTTGTACTTGAGCATACCCGAATCTCCTAAAAGGTTAAAGTCATATGCCACTACATCTCTAGCCTTAATCCACAAAAATGGATCAAATGACAGTCAAAAAGGACTTTCTTTCTCTTTCCCCTCGGTTGAACTTTGACTACTTTGAAAGATCACTTTAGCCATTTTCGAGATGAAATAATCACATCACAAGCTCATAATATTACTTTGCCAGTAAGTTTAGCATACACACATCGATCAGCAGAATATAAGGAGAAACTTTTTCTTAGTTAAGCCATTATTAATGTCGCAAAAAAAGCCCATTCCGATCAAAGAATTTGGATTCCCATCAATATTTCATATTGAAAAAAAAAAAAAAAAAAAAAGAAAGAAAGACACTGAATGAGCTAGCAGCGCTGGTGCTTATACCTATTTCAAAAAGTCATTATAATTATAAAATGATACATTGCCCCCCTTAACTTTTAAAATAATTGTGTAATGGCATATTTTTCATTACTACCAAAAAAATATATACATTTTTCAACAAGTAGTGAATTTAATACATTATCTTGATTTTTCTAGAAATAATTGGATAGCTGAGCTCCATGGGTTTTGAATAATTTAGGGGCACATATCTAGTATCACAATTAAATTTAAATGCTAATATGTCCTGACGTAAAATCATTTCTGACTCTCCAATAAATTAATTCATCAAAAAGATGATAGATGATCTCAACTAAGCTTATAAAATAAATGATGGATTGATGAAAAATTTAGCATAAAGTATAGATAATTTTTTAGATTTAAATGACTAAGTTGAATTATACAAAACAAATATTATTTTGTATCTCTTGTCCATATATTATTGAGGTTGAGTGGTATCATTTTTATTTTTTATTTAATAATTTAGTCTTAAATCTTCATATTTGAAATTCAAAATTTTTCCTTTTTAACATTTTGTCCCCTCTAGTATGGGATTCTACTCCGCCCCCATAGTAATCCAATATTTCAATATCTCACACAATATATGACATCACACTACAATAAAATTGATTTGTCACAACGACATTAGGGAACAAAAAAAAAAAAATTCCTTTTTGGGGGACCAATTTTGTTGCTCTAAAAGTTAATTTTCCTTTTAGCGATAGCGTCCAACAACATTGGGGATTAGTCTCCCCCCCCCCCCCCCCCCCATAGAATTTTGGAAATTTAAATTTATCCTCCTGCTTATAGTATTCTCACATTGGATCCTCAATTTGTAATTCTTTCACCATTTGTTTATCCTATTGTAATAGGATGGTAGTGGACGTAATTGAGCTCGAATTCAATTTTTCATTCTTGGCTCAACCAAAAGCATTGAAATTGGGGATGCAACTTGAAATAGGTGGTTTAATTTGAAATAAAATTTAAGAGATGAGTGTGCAACATGAGACAGCTTTAAGTTTGGCGCAGATTGAAATTTTCTAAATTTTTAGAGGACCAAACGAGATTAATTTTTCTAAAGTTGTAGGGGACAGATTCTTTGACATAGGTTTAATCCATAAAGGTTTACGTGGTCAATTTATTAGACATCAATGCAACTTTAAGAGGCATATTATGACGTCATATTTCACATAGTGAATAACGTCAATTGCGATGCCCAATACGGTGTCACACATCATCATTTTTACTATAAATTACACCAATTGATGCCGTGTCTGTGTATTTCCGGCCAACTTTTCCGGCGAAGGGACTGGCATTCTCGAAATGGGGTAAACAATTTCACTTAATGGTACGGTGTACTTCACTGTTTGTTTAGCACCACCAGTTTGGTGGATTTTATTTCTTGACACGTTATTATATTAATAAATAAAATCAAATTTTGAGAAAAAAATAACAATACTAAATATGAATTGAAATACAGTATACACACAACTAAGTAAACTTCATTCATTATCTATAGGGGAACATGTAAGTACATATAGTTCAATACCCACCACTCACTCTATGTAGCTATCACTAGAGTGATAGACCAAGCACTATAAATATTTGTGTTTGTGTGTGTGCGCGTGTGTGAAAGAGCGAGAGAGAGTGAGTGTGTAATAGGGTAGGGTATCAAAGAACTACATATTGGTAGACCCGGCAGTAGAGCCGTCAGTACCAGGATTGATCTTTTGCTTGTTCTTGTTTTTGTTGAATGGGGACGCAATGGATTGGCCTATGCGCTCGGCCACCATCTGCTTCACCAGCTTCTTCTTCGCCGGAATTACGCCCCAAGGCTTGGTTTTAGAGCCCAGCCCGGGTTTGGCTTCATCCTCTTCTGCTTCATCTTGCTGGTTCATCACTTCCACGTTCTCTATCATCTCGGATTTAGCCTTGGATTTGAGGGCACTCGTCTCTGCGTTCACAACCTTATCTGCCATCTCTCTCTCTCTCTCTCTCTGTGACTATGTGAGTGTTATGGTTCTCAAAACGAAATGTTGGTGCTTATAAAGGGCAATTCATGTTATTCCTTGTCTTCGGTGGGCCGCTTGTATGAGTGAACAAATTCAAAGATCCACACCCACCACGCCACCTCCCTTGAGTAATGTGAGTGTGAGAGTGGCTGTGGGTGCATGGATATGTGAGAGAGAGAGAGAGAGAACTTGAGCTAAAGTTAAAAGAGAGATACTTCAGTTAAATTAAAAGAGGGAGAAAATAGAGAGAGATACTTAAGCTAACATTAAAAGAGAGATCAGATCTAACATAAAAGAGAGAAAAATACTTAAAGCTAAAGTTAAGAGAGAGAGAACTTGAGCTGAAGTTTGAGTAATACTGGCTTACCAAATTTTGGAATTAAATTAAGAGATCAAAAAATATGACAGTATGTTATTCAGTAATGTTACATTGATTAAATTTTAAAATTAAATTTAGAATTCAAATGACATGACAATTGACATGAGCTTCTTCATTTAGTGTCATGTCATTTGGGCCCCAATAAAGACTCAAAATAATATGATGTCATATCATTTAAGTTTCAAATTTGATCCTAAAAGTTGGTCAGCGTAGCATTACTATATTATTTAGAGTTTTTATTAGGATCCAAATGACATGACACCAAATAAAAAAATTCAAGTCAACTATCATGTCATTTAAATTCTTAACTTAGTTCCAAAATTTGACATTAATCGAAGTTAAAAGAACCCGTGTGAAAGACAAATACGTGTAATAAAGTTAAAAGAAGTGTTCAAAAAAACTAGAAGGCACACAATGTGTGTATATTCAAGTTTAAATAGATAACTCTCGAGTGTGTGCGGGTGAAATCGCTGGACAATGTTTAGAAAGAGAGAGTGAGAGCGCTCGACCTACAAGGCCTTATGGTATTTTCTCAACGATAATATTTGTCTCGTCTCTTTGTTAATAGACTGATTTTCTTATCCCAATTTACCACATTCAACATAAAAATAAATAACATGATGATATCTTATTTCAAATGAGGATCAAAAAAAAGTAAAGAGTGAGAGTATGTTTGATTTCACTTTTGAACCAGAGAGGGAGAGAGAGAGAGAGAGAGAGAGAGAGAGAGAGTAGTGAGTGATGCTTATTCTACTTTTTAATCAGATGGAGGGAGAGAGATGCTAATTGCACTGTTACCTGGATAGAGATGCTTCATTGTTGCATATGAATTCAACACCTTTTTGTTCTGTATATGGTTAATAGGGCTCTAGACCCATAGTGAAATTATTAAAGCAAGGACTCTAAGCTTCACCCATAAAGAAAATCCATATTGCATAAGCCTATAATATTGTCCAGACCAAGAATTTAAACCCATAAAATTAAACCTAACAAAAAAGCCCCCAATAATGTTTAAACAAACAAAAAAATATTAGTTAATGATCAAATTTGATCTCGGTAAAATAATAAAAGCCTTAGACAGTATGTAACCGTGGGACTTGTTAATCTAACAAAAATTATGAATTAAATTAACAAATAAAATTCAAGTTAATTTATCCTATCTCTTTATTGGAGAGCACGATCATTCTTTTTTAGGGCACCCACTTTCCTACTCTCGAGTGTTTCTCGATGATTTTTGACAAACAGTCTAGTTTGCTCCATTTTTTCCTTTTTACCAAGAACCTTCCCAAATAAACATTCTTTAGGCCCATAACATTGTATAAATTCAGAACGTACACAATTATCGCATGGCACAATTGACGATTGTTTAGATAATTATCTCTAATCTTACAAAATGGCATTTTCAAAGGGAGTAGTTTGATAAGCAAGAGTGCAAAAAGAAAGGAAAAAAAAAAAAAAACAACATTCACACATTATATAGTTTTTCCCGGTAAATATTTAATATTCACATTGGCAGTCTCACTGGGCCTAAATCCATCCAAATATTAGTCTACCACAACCTTTTGGTTAGGCAACTTTTTGTTGGATATATTGATTCTATATTACATTTAGATTTATGATTTCTTTATCTCAAATGATTCTGATTATACTAACTTTAGAGGTCCCCTTTAGTGCATGTGTGTCAGGTAAAGTCCCACCTTAACCACTACACTTTGACCCAATAATGAAATTGGTTTATGAACTATATTTTTTTATGCTCCGTTTAGTAGAAAGAATGAAAAATAAGAGAGTTAAAAAGTAAGAGGATTACAATTTTTATCTTTTAAAGAAGAAAAGTAGGAATGATACACTTTCCTTCTTTTATATTTGATTGAATGAATGAAAAATAAAAATGAATAATTTTTTTTTTGTTCTGGTAAGATTCAAAAAATATTTTTTATTTTTTTTTAAAGTATAAATAATATTTTGCAGTTTTATTTATATATGAAATTAATGTTTGCATAATATATATATATATATATATAGACAAATAAGATACATTCCTCACATGTCGTAATTTTAACCAATATAGTAGTAGAGAAAAGCTATGTTGCCTCAAGACATTTTCCACTAATGTTGTAAATTTTTTGCATATTTTGTCTCATTAAGGTAATCTTTAAACTACTAACTTTGTCCACAATTCTGGTAACCTTGCCCTTAATAGTGGTATACATACTCTTAATTGTGGTAACTCATCCACAATTATGATAACTTTTCCTCCAAATATGGTAATTGGTATCTTCAACCCCTCTTGTTATAAAGTAGCATCCATTGAGTCGACTGTGGTTGTTCTAAATTCTTTAATGGTGCTGTAAATTCTCCACTAATATTGTAATTTTCTCATTGATGTTGCAATTTTTTCATTGATATTGTAATTTTATCTACTATTATTCTAAATTTTTCACTAAGGTTGTAATTTTACCTACTATTATGATAATTTTGCCCACTACTTTTATATATTTTTCACATTATAATACTAGCATATTGGTTAAAGTTTGCCCACTATTGTAGCAATTTTACCCATTCTTATAGTAATTTTTCATTGATGTTGTAATTTATTCATTATTGTTGTAAATTTTCCACTGATGCTGTAATTTTTCTCACTAATATTAATGTTGTAATTTTATTCACTATTGTTGTAAATTTTTCATTAATGTTATAAATTTACCCATTACTACTGTAAAATTTTTTACTGATGTTGTAATTTTTTCACTGATCGATCAGTCAATATTAATGATCGATCACAAACCCACTTAATATACTTCTAGTACTTCAAATGGTGATTAAAGTTTATCCACTATTGTAGTGATTTTGTCCATTACTATAATAAATTTTACATTGATGTTGTATTTTTGTCTACTATTGTTGTAAATTTATCCACTATTCTAGTAATTTTATTCATTATTATTGTAAATTTTTCATTAATGTTATAAATTTTGTATTGATGTTATAATCTTTTTGCTATTATGGTAATTTTGTCCACTACTGTTATAAATTTTTCACTAATATTATAATTTTGTTCAATATAGTCATAAATTTTCTACTTTATATTATAATTTTACCTTCAATTAGCATAATAACAATTTTTCGGCACCCAACTCTGATCCTATTTATTTTTTTGTAGATATGGTAGTCAAATCACCTTTCACGGTTTGTTGTATTCTCTTCGGACTGACGAGAACGAATGATCTTTATGTATCTATTTAAGTTTTTGGGTTGATTGTACCGAATGTTTTCAAATTATGGAATTTGTCTTGGTCTTTAATGTTTTAATTGCATTATTTTATCCCTGAAGTATTGAATATGTTTTTATATGGTCCCTTAAACAAACAGTGTTCAGATTACTAATAATTTTTTATCACAAATTTGTCACATGATGCTTAAATGTGGACAAAAAAATAATTTGAATAACTCTTAACCAAATTTCTACTCAGATTTTGGTTAAATACCTACTTATATTACACAATTTTGATCATAAACTATCCAAATTTTGGTCAAAAATTACTCATATTACACATTTTTTTGTCAAGAGTTAGCCAAATTTTATTTAAGAGTTATCAAAATTATTTTTTGTCCATATTTAGCTATTATGTGAAAAATTTAAAATAAAAAATTGTTAGCAATCTGAACGTTGCCTGCTTAAAAGACCATATAGAAACATATTCAATACTTCAGGAACTAAAATAATACAATTGAAATATTGGAGATTAAAATAAGGTAAACCTCATAATTGAGGACCTCTAGTGTAATTAACCCTAAATTTTTTTTTTGTTGTTCTTTGACTATTTCTCGGATTAGGGTTTCTTCAAACATTATGGGCATGTTTTTTTTGGTTTTAGGGTAGTATAAGCATATGGTATAAGTAAAAATAGTCCAATTTTTTTTTTTATATTGCATTTGTTATGTCTCTATCGGCCCAGTTATATCATTTAAAAATAATACCAACTCAGATACTAAAATGTAAATAAACCCATGTAAGAGGCATTATTCAATATCACCTAGGAGGTAGTATTAAAATGAGGTAAAAAAATAAAAACATGGTATTAGATTAGTAAATTATGGTATTGACCTGTTATGTGTCTATTTTCTATATATTTATTTTATGTAATATTAAAGATAGTTAGCTAGTTAATTGGAGGATATGTAGTAGTGGGTTAGTAATAGAGTATTTTGTTGGTAGTCTTCTAGATAGTAGAGTCATGAGTTAGGTTAGTTATTAAGATAGTTTTTATCGACTTGTATTTAAAGGTTTTTTTATCAATGAAAATGGTATGATGAATATTATATTGAACTTTCTTATAAAATTTTGAAAATAGGTTCTTCTTAATTTGAATTATCGGAGGTTCTCCCCCCTTGAAGTGGATTTTCTTTCCTCAATTCTATTTTTTGTTTTTTTTTTTCAAATTTTCTCAAAGTGTGCACGTAATAATTAGTATCTGAGTCAGACATTGAGGACAAAGTTGATCAACTTGAAGCAAAAGTTTACTCATTAATTATTGGGCAAGAAAGAATGGTGAAAAAGATGTACAAATTATTTCTCACTATGAAA